TTTAAATACCCTTGCTGACCACTTTTTAATTTGAATCTCCATGTTCACAATCATCAGGCCATATCTTCTTTAACTGGACTATCTGCGTAGCCTCAAGATGGTTGTGCAACGATGTTTTTCAATGACGGGGTCTCGTGTATGTCGCGCCACCGCTCCTGGTCGTACGTATTCCTTTGGCCCTCATTATGTCTTCTAGACTGGGAAACATTATGAACACGGATAATACAGGCTGCCTGAGTGAAACGCGACTGCAGGACTACAACACAGTCAACCAGCTTTTAGCACGCAGTCGCTTCTAGCTTCGTTCTTCCGGTGACGCTGTGTTTGCCGCATCTGGGCAAGCTGGTGTTGGGATCGCCCTCAGTGCCAGAGCTGATGCCGCCCTCCTTTGTTGGATTCCAATCTACAGTCGCGTTTGCGTTATGAGGCTCAGTGGATCTTGCAAGGTTAGCAGACATCGAACAAACAAGCGCGCTCTTTTTGAGATCTCCGCCTACGCGCCCAATGATTGCAGCTCAGATACAGTCAAGGACCAGTTCCATCAACATCCTCATGAACTAGTCCAAAGTACACCTAAAACGGACATCAGCATTATGGAAGGAGACATCAGTTCACATATCGGTCGGCTGCTGCCACTTGAAGGCCACCGCGGGGGACCGCATGGCAATGAGGATGTTCGCTCTGACAGCGGAGAGAGGCTGCTCAGTCTATGTGTTGACCACCAATTTTTCCTCTCCCATACTAGCTTTCATCATCCTGGACGCCCCTATGCCACCTGGTGTCCTTCCTCATCAACCCAGCGCTGGGTACAAATTGATCATATTGCCATAAGTCGCAGGTGGCGCGGCGGCGTACGCTTTTGCAGACCATTTTAGTCAATGCGCGTTGAAACAGCTCGTGCATTGGTGTGCGCGACAACTTGTAGGCGTTTTGGTGGCTCGCCTAGGGCCAAACAAGCCCGAATGAACACCCAAAAGTTGGACTACCCAACGGTACAAGTGCAGTATCAACAGTAGCTTCATGACAATCTTACTCTCTCCTCTTATCTGGATGACCATCAACACTGGTCAAGTTTGAAACAACCCACGCTGTCCGCCGGCTTGTCCAATTGAGTCCTCACTCGCGGCGTAGCCAAAAGCTGGACTTCAGTAAGCTCCTCGGAATCGCCTGATCGTTGACCGGCTGAGCCAACCGTTACGGAGCACAATGAACTCCCTCGGTCTATCTCTTAGCAGCTGAAGTCAATCCTTCGCTATGGCCGTAAACCCTGGTGGTTAAAACTAGCTGCTGAGATGCAACACACTGCATCCGCCGAAAAGTTCAATAATTTATTTTACCACATCAAGATCACTGGTCGCAATTCATATGACATCAGTCAGACAACTTGTGAGCCAGAAGGTAGGAAAATCACCAATCTGTACAAGCTGTTGGGCAGCCGAGCAGAACATTTTGCTTTTCAATTTTACTGCCAACCACAGCCTACTGTGAGACTTTCGTTTCCCACAGATGGTGCTTGGTCTGTCCCCACAGATCCTCCTACAAAAACAGAGCTACGAAGGGCAATCCAATTATCGAAACGTCATTAAGCTCTCGGCCAAAACAGTGTACCCCGGGGTCTATTCAAATGTGGTAGGAATACACTTGTCAGAGAAATTCTGTCACCAGTCACGAAGGTTTGGACTAGCGCGAAAGTCCCAATTTCATGGGGAGAGTCGGTCATTGTCCCAATTCATAAGAAGGGTTCTTGTGAAGATTGCGCCAATTACCGCGGAATTCCGTTGACCTGCGTTGCGTCTAAGCTTTTCGAGTCTGTCCTACTCCACAAGTTTTCAGAAATATAAGTAGGCGTTTTCTGAGACGAACAAGCGGGTTTTCGTCCATGCCGAGGTTACATCGACCAAATCTCCACACTCCGTCAAATTCTTGAACTAGTCAAGTCCACCGACAGCTAACTATCGTCATCATTCAGCATCATTATATACGTTATCTAGAAGCGAGAAGCGCCACAGCCGCAATACATAATAAATGGGGAAAATGGAACAGATGCAAGCCATCTGAGCTCCCGGTAACGGATGGGCATCGTTCCGGTAGGCTATCAGTCGGCTACTATGCAGCAAACAATTTACAATGCAAAATTATATACGGCTATGTAGTGAGATGTTGGTTGGATGTGGAGGCTAAGAGGAAAGGGATGGGACAAAGGAACTCACAACACGAACGCCACTGAGATCGGCTCCTAGCCATGTCAACGAGCGCATGTAGCCAAACGTCCATCGTCCTTAGCACTCCAACCAGGGAGCCGAGACGCTCCGACCGAGGCCAGCTCAGAAGTGAGGGCCTTCATTCCTCTCGACCAACTCATCGCTTGACCACCGGTCTTTTTCCTCCATCCACACCCACGGCGCGCAAACAACACACACCGCGGGAGTCGGTGGGCTGGATGCGCGACACGTGGCCGAGCCGTCGGAGCCTTGTACGTGAAATAACGGTGATGAGCGGTTCAGTTCCTTTTCCTGTGCTGTAAACAAGGCGTCAAACACGCTCGTTGCTCACGCAGTGTGCCCACCAGATCTGAGCCAAATTGCGAAGGCACCGGTGGTCGAAAGTAACTAGCCTCTTCAGGTCCGCTGCTTAAAGCGGCCAGGTTTCACAACCGTACAGTAAGGTCGAACGTACCGCTGCATTGTACACTCTACCCTTCAGGGCCAGAGTGATGTCGCGCCCGCGCCATGGATGGTGAAGGTTAGCAAAAGCGCTTCGAGCTTTTGTTATACGGTTCGGGATTTCATCTTCAGTCCCAAGGGCGCTGATACAACTTCCCAGGTAGTTGCAATTTAGAACGACTTTTAACTGATGCCCACCAACGGTCAGCTCAGGAGGCGATCCAGACCAATCTTGGGGGAAGTTTCGCTCTTCTAGGGTGTGAAGTAAACCCGGGACTGACGGACAGCCAGTGCTAATCTCACCATAGCCGCTTGGCAGGTTTTTGAGCTGTCACTGATTAGGGCAATATCATCAGCATATTCCAAGTCAAGAAGTCGATCTACTGGGAACAGATGTACAACTTCTAAGTCCTGTCCTGTGAACGTGCTATTCACGACTACGTCAATAGCGAAGTTGAAGAGGAATGGTGACAGCGAAAAGGTGTTCCCATGGAATATGGAAACATTTTACGGGCTCCGTACTCGAACACTGCAAGGTGCGTCAGGGTTCCCGGGACTTCTCGGATATCTTTCCGACAACAAGTGGCGCTCCTCAGGGTTGTCCAATGCCCATATTTTTGTTCAAATTCGTCATGGATTGCATGAAGAAGTGTTTCCTTGCGGAACCTCACGATGGTGTTATGTTGGTGCCTCCTGAATAATTAGTTTAGCATGATTGTGTAAACGATTCTGTCTTCCTGTTTAAAGATGTTGGGGCGGCGGAATCATTTTCTGAATAACCTCTTTAGATTAGCCCCATCAATTGGCATGCGTTCCTAACTTTCAAATTGCTGTGTTGTCATAGGACCACCAGCCACTTGATGTCCGCTTAATCCTTGATGGTGCGGAACACGAGGTAGTGGCTCAATTCACTTATCTTGTCAGCTGCATCAGTAATGATAGGCGCACAACCACTGAAGCCAGTCCACGTATTGCAAAAGCTAGAACTGGCTTTATGAATTTGACATCCTTGACGTCAGAAAGTGGTTACCCTCGTTTTAAAAGGCTGTGTTAACCGGGCCACAGTTAGGGACGTGCAGCTTTATGGGAGTGAGACTGGGTTCCCTCGAGCTGAGGATCTGAGGCGCTTCAAGTCTTTGATCATCGTTGTCCGCAAAGTATCGCTTGTGTCGGATGGCACCAGCGTGTCCGCATCGATGATGTGCATAGACGAGTGCTAGGCAGTGTTTATCAGGCTAGCACTTCAAAACAACTGAGCACTGAATAAGCTGCGTTGGCTTGAAGATGTACTACGTATGCCTGATCAACGCTTACCGAGGTGGGCATTGTTTTGTTTGCCACATGCATGGAAGCCTAAGGCTCAAGGCGGGCAACGGCAAACTTGACGGCGCGAGTTGAAGTCACTGGCGACCCAACTCGGTGCTGTTAGCAAGTGACCCGCCTTGTCCTTGGTTTGAAAGGTTACTGCACATGGCACGCAGGCAACAGCAGCGGCGTGTCTGCTAACGTCTCCTCGTCGAACTATGAGTGTATAGTATGCGCGTTGCTGAGTTATCCGTGGGGTAACAGCTGACTATGACGCCATGCCGTGAAAGCCGCAAGGTAGCTCACTTGCCGATACCGCCTTATCCCCGCACGATAGTCAGCTCTTTACGATGGGATGTTGTCGACAAGGTGTGGGCATATTCACCCTGACTGTTTACTTAGGGCACCAGGGATTAACAGTAAACCCCCTTCTATTCCCTTCTTAGTCTTCGTTCCATCGGTCACCATGGTTATACAGCAGTGTAGCATCAGCTCCAACAAGATGACCACGATGATGATGGTGATGATGAGGATGATGATCGCGTCGGTAAGGGATGCCGGCCTAATTCTGCTATGTGTGTAGTGAGGACTCAGGCAATAGCATTAGCTCAAGCACGCATGGGTGCCTTTCTAATCATCGAACTAAGCGCGCTTCATGTCTCTGATTAAGTTCCATGTTGATAAGGAACCCAATAGGGAGAATGGTCGGTCTCCGCGTGTGCAAGGAGGAGAGGAGTGTCAAATTTATCTACTGCGCTTACGGAACGGTGTGGATAATTTGGGGATACCACGGAGTGTACCTTGACAGAGCGTCACAAATAAAAAGTAACTAGTATCACTTGCAAACTGCATAGAATCAACACACAGTCAAAGGATGAATCTAGAAGTTCGTATAAATATGTGAAAAGCAATGACTCGCCCACTATAGCACGAATCCACTAGGATTGACAACCTGTATCCCGAGAGTATAACACACAGCCATGCGAGTATACGCATCAGAACGAACAAATGAATAAATCGCTCGCAACTCACGGTTGACTGTCGTAAAACCTCGACATGTGGTATATCACCAAAGGTAGATAGACGAAAGCTAACGTCAGCCATGCCGCCAAAAGTCGACTCCGCATATTCAACTGGCTTGGCAACCAAGGCATTTTCAGTGGACTGTAACCGGGGAATTCTGCGATCGGTGCCCGCAGACGTAGTTGGTAATCCACACAGGTGGTCATCCAAACGAAAAGGAAAAGTTGTATAAACCACCAAAGAAGATTCAGCTCCATGAGGATTGCCAACACTTTAATTGGTAATTTTATTATTACTTGTGCCCCGGTGGCAACATTTAGTGCGAATTCCGGCATTGTTGCCTCTTGGACTTTGTCATCTCCAGACATAATGCTCTCAAGGTCAGCTTTTTCTGTCGGTATTTCAACTAAGCCAGGGATATCGATGGCATCCTTCGATCTGCTGATGCTTTTTCTCGACTTGTCGGATCTAGAATCTCTGACATCCCGTTTTTCTTCCTTTCTGCGCTTACCAATAGATTTTTTCTCCAATTCCTCGGTTTCAGACTCAGGCAATAAGCCGCTGAAAACGTCCACGCTTTTCCGGTGAGTTGTGTTGATCCTAGGCCTTCTCGGTTTCCTCGATTGACGTCTCCACGCGTCATTGTGTAGGTTATGTGCCGTCCTCTGTGGCAAACGCGAGTCATCATTCTGGTTGTTCTGGTACACCTTCTCATCTAATCCGGGTAGATCAAGCTGTTTGTCATAGCTCCGATGTCTTGTGGGTACTATTGAACTAGATCCCAAGTGAAGCTGACGTCCTCCGGCGGATCTCAACACAGGTCTACCTGCATCCGGATGTCCAAGCGCACTAAATTCATCTCCCGTGTCGACGTCGGACGCGCTTGACATCCTCTATGCTGGCTGCAGTGCACGTGATCAGTTGGTTTGAACCAAGGGAGAATCAATGAAATCATGCACACGGCAAAGAAATACTCATGCCACATTTAGCAATGCATCCGCAGTAGCTCCTGGATTAGTTCCGTTTTGTTGCAGTAACTATGCAGGTAAACCCATGACGCACTTCTGATGTCGACGCAGATAATCCCAGAATTAGTGGGCCACAACCACGAGCCATGAGAATGTAAGCACGGATGTCCCCCAATAGTTGGCGCTAAGCCTCAGTGCTTATATTTTAGGCCGCAACAAACATAGAATTATTTCAGTGACGTTAAATCGCCTACTTGTATTGAACAACGAGACAACTACCAGTTTACAAGCATTATACAATCATCTTAACTCAACAGTTAAAGAGGGGCTGTCAACAGCGTCCCACATCTAGCTGACACGAGTGCCAACAAAGCAAACGGCATGTTAGTTGGGACACCAGTTGCAACGAGGTTTGCGTACAATTCGGTAACGGTGATAGGAATCGCGGGGATTATTCAGTCGTGGAATTCCACATGGAGTCATACTGAGCAAGTGCCAATGCTTTACCGCAGCGAAGCAGCCGCATTTCAATCAGTTTTTCGCATCTGAACCAAGTAATACACATTTCACCATAGCGTTACAAGTCGAATCAGGTCACGTAAACGTCCCAAGAACGATACTGGTACTTGTTTGCGGTGCGTATCTACTGGTGTGTCAGCAAACCAGCTAGTTTATGACACTTGCTATTACTGATGCTACAACCAGAGAAAGTTATCGGGAACGACTGTTAATATTTTGTGTGTAATTTGGGAAGAGTTCGTCACGGCAGTTTCGGAGTCAGGTATCCTAGCACTCATCCGTAGAAACACCAGAGCCTTTGCGTCTTAATGAATCTGTTGGGGAAATGTATCCGCTGCTGCATCAGGAACCGAGGCTTTGTTGTTTCAGCACCAGCGACTTGCGCAAATAGCCAATAGGCATCAGGGTATGGCGGTGAGTCGTCATGAGTTTCAAGCCAACTGCGTAATCTGGCGGGAACTCTATTGCCTAAAGCGTTATAAATCACCTGGCCCTGATCGTCTACCTCCTGCTCCATTTAAAGATGGGAGCTCTTAGCTGGTTCGAGAGCTCACCGCTTTGTTCTCAGAAGTCTGGGCAAAAGCGGAGGTTCCATTATCTTGGAGTGAGTCGATTGTCTTCCCAATCTTCAAAAATGGCCTGCGGACAAATTGCTCCAATTATGGAGGCATAAGCTTGGTTCTCGTCGTTTGCGAGATACTGGTGTCCATCATTCTTCACAAGCTATTTCTAACGCGAGAATCACTACAGCGAGAAGAACATGTTGGGTTCCACCCTGGTCGTGGCTGCACCGATCAGATTTTTACACTCCACCAGATTCTCGAGCTCCGCCATGTGTATCAAAAGCCAACGATTATTGTGTTGTGGCACTGTCTGTTGAAGAATGTTATTTCCGGGAAGTTGGTTTCTATTCTGCGTGCTCTGTATAGTCTGACCTCGGGTAAAGTTGGAACTTATGGCAAGCTTTCGCCTTGCTTTGTTGTCACCAGTGGGGTTCGATAAGGATGTCCTATTACTGCATTTCTCTGTACCTTTACCATTAAGAGTATATATATATATATATATATATATATATATATATATATATATATATATATAAGTCTGTAAACAGACAAACGTGCCATCCGAACCATGGTGGTAGAGAAAGGAGAATATAATGTTCAACGGGGAGAGAGAGAGTAAAAGGTTAGGGAAACGTTTTTCTCAGTTCTACACACGCCGTTTGGAAATGTTTTGCGTTCTTTTTGTTTCGATGTTTTGTTCAACACTAAAAATTCCAGGAGGTAGAGATGGTAGAACAGCATGGACGCCATTGACTCTTATTGCTGGTCATATGCTCCAAGACTTCGAATCATTTGGAATCCGCTTCATATGGTTCCCAGCCTGGGAGACGCACGGATCCAACTGAAGTTAGACAGGAAGTTAGAATCTTCATACTCCGCCACTAGTCGCAATGCAACTCTCAAGTAAAACTGTTAATGAGCTCAAGACTGACATCCAAAATGGTGAGCGTTGACGCAGGGGCCTGCCAAACCTAGAGGAAATCTTTACACTAGGATGGAGCAAAATACAGACCATACTCAGATGCCTCTGACGCTAAGTGGTTCAGAATGTTTTGAAGAGCTTGCGAGTCGTGCGCCAGCAAAGCGAGGTCATCAGCATAATCCAGGCCAACGACCTTGCTACCGGGTAGAAGCTCAACGCTTCAAAAATGATCTAGAAGACTTGTTGAACGCTGGCATTAAGCACGGCTCAGGTAGTAGGGTGGCTAGTTTGCATTACGCCGATGATATCGTCTTGTTGGGTGCCATTCTGTAGACCGTCTAACGTGTACTCAACCGCTTGGAGATTGAAACGTCGAAGTATTTCATGCACTTTTCACCATCCAATTGCAAAGCGCTTTTTCGAGACTGGTTGTACAGTTTTGTTTACCTGGGAAGCTTTATCACTGCTGGCGGGGCTGTTGGAAAAGTGATTTCGATGCGCCTCTCAAGAGCTCGTCTCGGATTCACCAGGGTGAGACATTTTTAGCGCCGCTATGTCATCCGTCTGATACGTATTACTCGAGTATTACTGGATCGCACCTGGACCCTTAGTACACGCAAGAAGTGAATAAGAAAACACACACCGGATGGGACGTGACAAAAACTGTAATAGATAGCTTGTAGGTTACACCAGATGAATAAGTCGAAAAGGAATCAATCAGCAGAAGGAAAAAAAGAGTGGACGAATCAAATATCGGTCACTCGATCTGTATGTGTCTGTGTTTGCTCATCGGCTCAGCGGTTTAGTAGACGACACATATGTAACATCCCCTCACGTGACAGATGGAATCACAGTTGTGAAATGTAACGTTCTATCGGCTTAGGTGAGCGGTGCGGTTTCCGAATAGCAATCGGCTGATCGATTTCTTCCGTTTGGTTCTTGTTTGTCTCCTTTCTCTTCCCCAGGGTACGGTGTGACTGGGGTGCGGGGCCGGATGAAATCATTGTGCCTGCGTACTGCTTCTCCACTCTCTAGTTGTATTTCGGCCTGAGTTTCTGAGCTCTTAAGCACGGTGCCAGGCTGCCATAATTGCTCACGTGGTCGTTTCGTGTAAACAACACGTTCCACTATCGACTTCTGGGGCTTAACTGGTGCGCGTCCACTTCCATACATACGTTGTTGCTGGCAACGCCTGGTCTGGCGAGGGTCTGGAAAAAGTAGGTCTAGCCTCGTACGTAGTCGACGCCCAAACATTGCCTCCCAGGGCTCTTTCCGATAGACTCTAGCGGTGTGATCCGATATGCGAACAAGAATCGGTCAAGTTTGGTTCGTAACGAGCCATTACGCTGCTTTAGAAGACCAGCTTTCACGGTTTGAACCGCTCTTTCAGCTAAACCGTTTGACGCTGAATGGTACGGTGCGGAAGTCATGTGATGAACGCCGTTGCTCTGCAGGTATTCTTTGAACGCTGCACTCGTAAATTGCGGACCGTTGTCAGTGACTAATGTTTTCGGTACGCCATGTGTAGATAGACTAGAGCGTACGCCATTGACTGTAGATTCTGCAGTAGCGTTTGCAACAACATGCACATCAATCCATTTGGAGTGCGCATCTACTAAAAGTAGCAACATTTTTCCTTCGATCGGGCCAAAGTAATCGGCGTGGACACGTTCCCATGGGCTGTCGGGCAACTGCCAAGGGTGAATTGGGCCTGTTGGATTATCGCTTTGATATTTTTGGCATGTGTTACAAGTACTCAAAAGTACTTCGATGTCTCGGGCAATCGCTGGCCACCAGCAGTACGATCTGGCGAGGGCTTTCATGCGGACAATACCTGGATGTGCATCATGTAATTCTTTCAGTACAGCTGACCTGAGAGTCAATGGAATAACGATGCGAGATCCACGTAGGATACATCCTTCATGCAGGCTCAGCTCAAATCTACAATTGAAAAACGGACGCAGATCACCAGGGGCTCGCGAACCCCAGCCACGCATCATCAGACGGTTCACAGTCGATAGAACGGGATCTCTGTCTGTAGCTTTCCTAACCATGTCACCAGATATGGGTGTAGTATTCAGGTGTTGCAAACGTTGAACAAACTCGTTGGGCGCGTCAGTTTTTTCCCCCTGTTGGTCAATCTGTGGCAATCTACTGAGCGCATCGGCGACATTATTGTGAGGACCGGCAAGGTATCGGATTTGATAATTGTAAGCAGAAAGTAGGAGGGCCCAGCGTACCATTCGGGGTGCGTTAAGCTGTTCTATGCCTCGTTCCTTACCGAGAAGTGATAACAGTGGTTTATGGTCAGTCTGTATCTCAAACTGGTTGCCCCACAAGTACTGATGGAACCGCTTTACTCCGAATACTACGGCCAGTGCTTCCTTGTCTAATTGTGCGTAATTTTTCTCAGCAGGTTGTAATGTGCGGGACGCGAAAGCAAGAGGGCGAACTGTTCCGTCGTAGACTTTATGTCCCAGCACTGCCCCGACTCTAAAAGGTGAAGCATCCCACTGTAGGATGAGGGGTTTGTTGGGGTCGTAATGTTCCAAGACTGGTGAAGAAGCAAGGAGACCTTTTGCCCTGTCAAATGCTTGTTGCTCTTCCTCACCCCATGCCCACTTAGAATCTTTTTTCAGCAAGTTGTGAAGTGGTGCTAGAACAGAAGCAAGATTAGCTAGGAACGGACGATAATGTGAAAGCATTCCAACGAACGATCGTAACTGGGCTCCGTTACGAGGTGAAGGTGCAGAAATAATGGGTTGTGATTTATCTTACCGCACGTGTAAACCATGCTTGTCCAGTCTATAACCGAGGTAGTCAACTGAATCAACTAGGAAAGCATATTTGGAGCGTTTCAAACGCAAACCGTGTTCAGAGAGTTTATGCAACACCCGGTCCAGCGTGCACAAGTGCTCCTTTTCTGTGCGACCTGTGATAAGGATATCATCGAGATATGCGCAA